AAAGACAATACAATGGAGCAAAGATAGTCTTTTCATCAAATAGTGCTGAAACAACTGGATGTCCACAGTAAAAAAAAAAAAAAAAAAAAAAATCGAAAAACCAAACCAAACCACCAGGAAAAAAAAAGGTGGGGGGGGGTGGGGAGAGAAATTAAATAAATAAATAAAAAGGAAGAAACTTGAGCCTCAGAGATGAATATTTGTCAAGAGAGTTGACGTAAGTCTCATTTGCATAATGACTTTGTACTTCTGCATTAATAAAATTTGCATATGAAGCCATGTTAATTACTCCTGATCATGCTTTTTGCATTCATGCATAGTAATTTTCTCCGACTTGTGAGAATTAATGTCTTGGCATGGGGGGAGGGGGCGCGGGGACTGTCAGGTTTCCTTGCCAGTGGCCCTCACTCACATGCACTCGCTCCCTGTCTCCCTCCTTGATCTATGACTCATTTTTGCACCATCAGTAGGAGTTCTTGGCTTAAAAAATGTATCCATTGAAAGGCATCAGTAGGGAGAAAAATATACATCTCCTACACAGTGTATTCTAGAACTCCTCTTGCTAGCTAGGAATCTGTAACCCTCCCATGTGGGAGGGCACACCGAGGATGCAGCGTTGGGAAAGGCTCGCCTTCCCCTCGAAACCAGGCTGGGGCTTTTCCAGGGAGTTTTTTGTGTCTGCATTAGTCGGTGTGGGCGTGTTTGCTGGGTAGTGCGCATGTGTGCAGAGTGAGGCAGGACCATCTGCAGGGCCCCTCTAGAAGGGAGATGGGTGGCTACAGACTCCCGCAGAATGGAGGCATTCAAAATCACCCGCATTTGGAGCTTAGGAAACATCTTAGGGGTCTTCATTTTGGTCATTTTGTACCTTTCTGTATGGATTGCATAGAGCTAGAGTCTCAGCCCTCTGAGCCTTGTGGCGTTGGACACCCAGCCTCAGTTTCCTTGTTTGTGAGAGGAGGGTCCTAATAGCTATCTGATAGGAAGGCTGCTGGGCTTAAATGAGATGACATATGTAGCCATTGTTTATTTCTTTTTCCTTTAACCAAAGTGAACTTCCATGATAAGGAATCGAGCCAGCCGGGATTTTATCTTTAAGCCACCTGGATCCCACGTAAAGCTGAGGTGGCGTCTTGGCATCCCCCTGCCACATACCTCGGTACACGTGTGTCTGTTCCAGTTCCAGAGGGGAGCCGGCCTAGATCTCAAAAGAAAGTGCCTTTTTAAAGGAGTGCCTTTCAGGGCTTTGTGGGGACGGGTGGTGGTGGCCTTTGCTGCCATGCTGTGGGGAGGACTCATAGGGAGTTAGAGCAAGTTCCAGAATGGAAAATAAATGAAGGATAGTGACGGTTATTGGGTGTTTACTAGAAGCCTGGCTCTGGCCAGGCGTGTCCTGACCTTCCTTTAAAGGCGAGGCTCTGAGACAGTGACTCAGCCCGGGTCATGCGGCCAGGAGATGGCAGCGGAGCAGACGGACGTGGGCCTCTCTCGGACGTGGGCCTGTCTCCGAGGCAGCGTAGCCTCTGTGCTCTGGGCTTCCTCCGCCTGTGCTTAGGTGCACAGTCTCATCACAGGGTCTCAAGTCCTCTGTCAAGTGCCTTTTGGATTCCCTGGCTGCGCTTTTCAAGGCAGAGCCACCCCCGGGGCTGGGAGGTGGCCTGGGACAGGTGCTGCGGCCAGAGACAGTCTTCACGTTGGGCTTAAAAAAAAATTGCGATAAGAGTCACATAATGTAAAATTCGCCAGTTTAATGTGTGCAGTCAGTGGTTTTGAGTGTGTTCACCATGTTGTGCAGCTGTCACACTATCTGACACCAGAGCATTTCCATCACCCCCCTAAGAAACCCTCTACCCTTTAGCCCTTATGCTCCCGGCCCTGCTCCCCGGCCCCTGGCGGCCACTTCTCTGCTTTCCGTCTCAGTCTCCGTGGATTTGCTCTTCCGGACACTTCCTATCATCATACAATAGGTGGCTCCTGGCATCACCTTGGGCTTTTGCAGCCTCAGAAGAGTGTTTTTGGAGTTCCACCTTTGGGCAGGGTTCTGGTTTAAGCTGCTCTGGCTGGGATGAGGGGACCTCCCCCAGGTCAGAGGGTCCTCTGAGAGCACCCTGAGGGTCTTCTGTGGGCAGCTTAGGATTGGAAGCCCCTGACCCTTGCTTCCCTCTCCCCTGTGTCCACTGAGCCAGTCCCTGGAGCAGGTGGGCTTCATGGAGGCCAGAAGTCTAATGAGGCCACTCAGAAGCCCCTCCAGGGGGCGGCCCAGCCCCCCAGCCCTACCTGAGTTGGAGGATGACGTTTTGTCTTTACAGACTCTGGCCTAACTCAGCCCGACCTTTCCAGAAGGAGAGGGGTGCGGCCAGACACGCCCTTTGGTCCTTCCTCCCAAGCATGGACACACAGGTTCTGCACCCTTCCGGCCTGGGACAGCAGTTACCTGGGCATCCTGCTGGTTTTCTCAGCCATGGTAAATGGTGGTGGCTGTGCTGTGGCCTCACCCAGAACCTGGGGGCCCGGAGTTGTTTTTTGTAACCTCCAGCGGCCCGACTCAGCCCAAGGGCCCTCAGGCTCCCTCCCACCCTTCCTCTCAAGATTCTGGAGTGCCCTGGTTACTCCACCCCAGCTGCAGCCCCAGGCGGAGGCAGGGCACATCCAGGCTGTGGAGACACACTGGGTTCGAGTCCAGACCTCCCCGAGCCTCAGTTTCCCCCCTGTGGAATGGGGGGTGGTCTTCCCTGCCGAGTGGGGTGTTTGAGGTGAAGTGAGCCCAGCTCCTTGTGGTAAGGGCCCAGCACAAAGCCGCTGTCACAGTTATGATGACCCGGAGCTTTCCATGGTGTGAAGCGGGGCTGACGTGGTTGACAAGGATGGACATGCTGTGTCCACCGCTGGGGAGTTTCAGGCAAGGACCAGCCAGGGCAGGCTTCCGGGAGGAGGTGGCCGACATTGGTCTCAGGTGCTGACCTTTCTTGAGGGCCTGCACCAAATCTGGGACTCGGCCTTGTGCTCAGTGTCTGTGGCTGGAACAGCGCCTGAGGTCTTGGCCACACCTTCCAGGGCTGTGTCATGGGCTCAGAAATGGCCTGGGCCCTGAGCCTAGCCTAGCACAAGGTCTTCATTGGCCCAGAGGGGCCAGGTGCTGGTGGTGGTGTTAGCGTTGGCCTCTTGGCAGGACATGTGCAAGGGGTCCTCAAATGCTCTAATGGCCCCGGTCCTGGATAATACCTGTTTTGGAGAGACAGGGGACACGGAGAAAGAGCCCTGGTTCTGGAGCCAGGCAGCCAGCTGGGGTTTTGCTGGGGCTGGCTGCTGCTGTCTGCAGTTTTCTGCAGTCATGTCGTCAGTTTCCTGGTCTGTGTAGTGGGTCTGCTGAGCTCTGCCCCCAAGGGCATGCCGGGAAGCTCACTCACGATCAAGACTGATAGGCTGCTGGCTCACGGTGGGCTTGCAGGGCCCTGTGGCTCTTCCGGACGGGGTAGTCCCTCATGGGGGCCGTAGAGTGGGCAGATCCCCGCCCCTGCAGACAGCATGGGGGTGCGGGGTGGCATCCCTGGCAGGGCCGGCCGGGGCCCAGCTGCCCGTCATCTTGTTGATGTTTTCCTTTTGTCGGATGCTTCTCCGCTCAATTATTTACCCAGGGAATTTGGCTTTTTCACTTGTGGTTTTGGCAAGGGCTTCACACAGATGTTTTGCCCTGGTGGTCTCTTAGCCATTTAAGATAAACGGCCAAATCGAACGCAGGCCTTGCCGGGGAGCCCGGGCGAGCTGTAGGGCTGGTGGAGACAGGCAGGCCCCTGGCCCTGCGCTGTGGCTGTCAGACCCGGGGAGGTGTGAAGAGGGGTGCTGGGTGGTGCCAGGGCTTTCTCGGGGAGGAGGTTCAGAGCCACCCCACAGGCCTTGGGGCTTGGGTGCTGCGTGTAGGTGTCGGTTGCCGAGGACTGTGGGCCGGAGGGGGCACCGGCTGGCGGTCCTCCGGGCTGGAGGCTCAGCCAGTGCCCAGGCGCTGGGAGGTGGCCTGGAGGTGTCCGAGGCCTGCACCAGCAGCCCATCCTGATGGAGCGAACAGTGGTGGCCTGGAACTTCCTGGGTCTTCCAGAGGGGGGTGGCCCAGATTTGGGGAAACAGATCCCCAAATGGAGTGTGCTCCAGAACACTCCAGAAGTCCCTACCTGGGGAAACCTTCCTGGGATTGGGGGCCCCCAACAGCTCCTGTCTGTCCCAGCCCCGGCATTAGGCCTCCCTGGGATGGAAGTCTGGTCCCAAGACAGCCCAACCTGGCAGCTGAGGACGTAGGAGCCCCTCAGGCCCCGCCCGCTTCCCTGGCCCCTGCCCCTGCCCGAGTCCCCGCTGCATCCCCCTTCCCCAGCCCCGCCAAGCCCCCCACAGGGGCTGGCACCCTGAGCCTCCCACCCTGGAAGGGCAGCCTGCAGCCCTCTGCCCCGGGCCCCGTTCCGCACCCTGAAGCCCTTGCCCAGTGCAGGGTCCGACTGACCAGCCTTTTCTATTGTTTTCTCTCCAGGGCCGTGCAGGCCTGCCCAGCTGCCAGCGATGGCCCCCATAGATGCTTCCTCCTCCCACCCTCACACATCTGTGATTACTTCACCTCTTCGTGCCCTGGGCGCTCTGCCGCCCTGCTTCCCCCTGCCGTGCTGCAGCGCGCGCCCTGTCTCGGGTGACGGGACTCAGGGTGAGGGTCAGACGGAGGCTCCCTTTGGATGCCAGTGTCAGTTGTCAGGTAACCGACCGCCGCGGTGGGGGCGGGCTCCCGGGGATGGTGGGTGTGCCCTGGGCAGGGCTGGCGGCTGCCTCTCCCAGGTGGGCTGGGGCAAGGTGGGGACCCAGGGGAGACGTGCAACTTGCAGCCCGGAAGGCACTTTTGGGGAGGTGCCGGGGAAATGGCGAAGGATGTCGGCAGAGCTGTACCCGGGTGCCCTGGTCCCCACTGGTCGGGAGATACCCCCGTGCCTCCACCCATTCTGAGGTCTCACTCCCAGAACTCCTTCCCCCAGCCTCCAAATTTCATCTCTTTGGGCTGTTTAGCTAAAGTTTAATTGGATAACACTTAACATCTGAGGTTTTCTTCTGCCCTCGCCACTGCCGCCCCCGCTCCCCAACCCCAACCAGTACCCTCACCCCCAGCTCATGGCTAGGGGAAGATTCTTTGGTTGTCTGTGTACATCCCTGGAGCCGTCCAAAATGCTGAGTTTCTCTTTGCGAGAATGTGTTGCCCATTAACTTTTAGAAAAAAGTTTTCTCTGAAGGAGCCTGTTAGCTTCGGCTCTGGGAGGGAGTGAAACATTGTGGGGTGTGTTGGTGGGGGTAGGGGTAGGGGGCGGGGCTGAGCGCCCAGCTCCAGGTCGGAGTGGCTGCCCATTATACAGGTGGGCAGACAGCGCAGTGTGGCGACCCGACCTGCTCTCTGTTACATCCCTTCTCCCTCCCCAAGCAAAACCCAAACTCCTGCTCTGGCCTGGGGTCCCTGGAATTTGCAGGCAGGGACCTCTCATTCCAGCCTCTCCTGCCCAGTATCTTTGCGGAGCCTGATGCAAAAAGCACTGAGGCCACGGGAGCCGGGATGCTGACACAGACACCGGTGGTGGCGAATGTCCTGCAGGGGCTGGGAAAGGAGAGGGTTGGTGCTGAGCCGGGGCAGATTCTTTGTGTCCCTGCTTTCTCACCGGGTACGTTGCAGGCTTTCTCTTGACTCGAGTGGTAAAAGGAAAACTGTTTATTGGGTAGGTTTTGCTTTTAATTGAAGCTGTCCCAAGGGATGGTCCCTGTTAGAGCCACAGCTCTGCAGAGGGCCACAGGCGGCCCAGCTCCAGGGTCAAGAGCTCCCCGATCCTTCCTGCTGGTGGGGTGGCCTGCAGCCTTCAGCACCCCTTGCTGTGACAGATCGTGACATCATAGGTACTGGGGTTGTGTCTTGAACGCACAAAGCAAAGACTGAATCACCTGGGAAGGAGTCCGCAAGAGCTTACAAAGAAGCCGGCTCCCTGCCCCGGGCTGCCCGGGTGCCCACGGTGATTGGGGCTCCGGTCCCAGCTCCGTAGGTCTGTGCTGTGATCCCTGCTTGCTGAGTGTGGGATGCCTACTCCGTCTGGGTGGCTGCCCTGCTCTAATGGCTTCCTGTAATTAGTGCTGCAGCCCTGCAACCACTCGGGGGGCCGTACTGTCAAAGATCAGCCTGAGTGGTCATGACTGGACTTGGTTAAGTTCTGTGGTGCGGGAACACGCTCTCCCTGGCAGTGGAGTGCCTGGGGCTTTGCTTAACTTTCCACTTTGCTTAACTTCTGGCTCTGCTTAGGAGCTGTGGTGCCGAGCAGGAGCTGTTAACACCCCTGTTTTACAGATGGGGAAACAGAGGCTTGGGGAGGGTGAGTGGCTGGGCCCAGGTTGCAGAACTGGGATTTGTTGTCAGGATGCCTCCCAACAAGGCCGCCCCTCTTCCCGCTGAGCCCCATGCCTCTGCCTACATCCTGGGGATGTTCTCACCCAGTCACTCTCTCAGCCACAGTGCCACCCGCTTCTTTGTAGGGACCGTGAATTGAGGGCCTACTGTGCGCTGCCTTGTGCTAGGCATTTTGTGTGCGTTCTTGAATTTAATGCTCACAGCCACCTTAGGAGGTGGGTTTACTGTCCCCACTTTACAGATGAGAAAATGAGGCTCACCTTCATTTGTTCACTCATTCGTTCATTTTTTCTATTTTTTATTTTTTTTTAATTGGCCACACTGCGCGTCTTGTGGGATCTTAGTTTCCCGACCAGGGATTGAACCTTGGCCCCCAGCACTGGAAGTGCGGAGTGCTAACCACTGGACCGCCGGGGAACCCCCCCCATTCATTCATTCTTGTGCAGACCACAGTGCGGTCCATCATGGCAGGTCCCAGCCCTCCTGCAGCTTGCAGTCTGGTGGGCCGGGTGGTGGAGTGGGAATGGGGACCTGTAGGGAGGGGATGGAAGGGCAGAGGTGGGGTTTGATCCTGGGTCACTCATCCTGCACCTGCTTCACCTCTGGCGTTGGCTCACCTGGCTTAGAGCCTTCTTCGACTTTAGAATTTGATGCCGTGAGGGCTCAGAGCCCGTGAACAGCCCCTGTGCTTTTGCTGGCAGTGCTGGGGAGGGGAGTGAGGTGGGGCTGTGTCTGTTCCTGGGGTCCCTGGGACCTCGCCTCCTGACCTGCTAAGGGGCCGACCCTCAGCTTCCGACGCTGTACCCTGATCGCCGGCACTGATCTTTCGTCGATGGGTCTGCGGTAACTAGCCTGCACCAGGTTGTGCCATCGTATTTTCAGATCGGTTTCAGTACCTGAAAATATCCTATTCCAGTGGTTTTGGTCCCTTTGTGGCTTCTGTTCCTGCACTGGGCTGTTTGCTGAAGTGTTTTTAGTGCCTGTTTAATTAGTTGTTTGAATGGAGCCATTAAATTCCCAGTAACCCGTTAGGAAGAAGCAGTCCTCTGTAAAGACGGAGAGGGGCCGCCGTCCTTACTTTGTTCTGTCCCTTTTCGGATCAGGATGCACTGAACCTATCTCTTCAAATTAATATGGAAAACCCTGATGTAACTGTGTTTCACACAGGTTAATTGCATGCCCGTGAGTGCATTTGAGGTTATTTATAGAAGGATGTGATATTATGGGGGAGAAAACCACACAGGTATGTGTGTTTGTGTACCTTTCCGGCTGGCGGCATCCCAAACAGCCCCGCCTCCCAGGACCCCAACCCCAGATCTCCTTCTGATGGTCACAGTGGGAAGGAGGGGTCCCCTTTGCTTTTTTTTTTTTTGCGGTACGCGGGCCTCTCACTGCTGTGGCCTCTCCCGTTGCGGAGCGCAGGCTCCGGACGCGCAGGCTCAGCGGCCACGGCTCACGGGCCCAGCCGCTCTGCGGCATGTGGGATCCTCCCGGACCGGGGCATGAACCCGTGTCCCCTGCATCGGCAGGTGGACTCTCAACCACTGCGCCACCAGGGGAGCCCCCTTTGCTTTTTGACTCTGTTGAGTTGCGGTGTTCCTGGAAACTGAAATTTCTACCCTGAGAAATGCCACGTAGGAACTTCTCCAAGGTGCCCGGGGAATCAAAAGTCTAAGGCTGTGGTCTTGGCCTTTACACCACCTGGCCAGTGACCTTGAGTAAGTCATTTCCCCTCTCTGGGCCTCAGTTTCCCCTTGTGTAAATATATATATGTATACACACACACACATACACACGTGTGTGTGGTACATATGTAGCATTTAAAAACGAGGCTCCTTGGGCTTCCCTGGTGGTGCAGTGGTTGAGAGTCCGCCTGCCGATGCAGGGGACACGGGTTCGTGCCCCGGTCCGGGAGGATCCCACATGCCGCGGAGCGGCTGGGCCCGTGAGCCGTGGCCGCTGAGCCTGCGCGTCTGGAGCCTGGGCTCTGCAACGGGAGAGGCCACGGCAGTGAGAGGCCCGCGTACCGCAAAAAAACAAAACAAAACAAAACAAACAAAAAAACGAGGCTCCTCATATTGAGAACATATTGATCAGTGTCGATTACTGAGATGCTAGGGATGCCTGGGTATGGGACTTGGCGGGGGTTCCCAAGGCAGGGGTGGGGTGTTCAGAGAACCACTGGGCTTTGGATCCCTGAACCCTTCCCTGTTCCGAGGTTTCTACCATTGGGAGGCAGTCATCAGAGTATCAGACTGCAGGGTGAAGGCTGCTCAGTCCTGTATGGCTCTGTGACCTTGGACAAGTCATTTCCACCCTCTGCTTCAGTTTCCCCACCTGTAAAATGGGGGTCATTGAAGACTTGTTCTGAGGACTGGCTGAGGTCATACACGCCAGGTGCTGAGAACAATGCCTCTTGCTGGGCGAGCCCTCCAGACATTCTGACTCATGCATGAGCAGGATGGGTTTCACATCATTATATCATTACCTGCTCGGCTCTGTTTGGAATCAGGCTGGATCCCTAGTTTCCATTCTTAAAGGCATTTAACCTCTTGGCTGGCTCAGATCATGTACCAGCATTGGGAAGTGGAAAAGGAACTGAGAAACTTCATTGCATATTTAAAAGCCACAAATGGTCATCAGCCATAATGATTAATACATGCGCTTGGTGAAGTTCAAGGTCTTCAGCAAGAACGCACAGGATCCCGGCTCGGGGAAGTGAAGTGTTTGGATTTAATAGAAGGAGTCAGTTGCAGTCATTAGTATATGCTGAAATCACAGGGCAATCTTGTAAAGTTAAATTCAATTTACTTTTCTACTGAAATTGTGCTTGCTGTGTTATTTAACTAGTCTGGGGTGTCTTGGCATGGGTTAAAGGGACAGTAAAGATAAAAGAATACCTGTAAGTAAATAGTAGGGTTTCACAGTAGAATCTGTCGTTTTCTCCTCTTTCAGTTATATCCCAGTGTTCATTTTGCGTTGGTTTTTATAACCGAATCCTTCCAATGGGATGCCGTAGCTTAGACCACCCTAGCTGTGGAAGCTTGATGCAATTAATACAGTCTGTCTGGAAAGTGGTCTTATTTCTGGAAGTTTTATGTTAATGATATGGTCTGTGCTTTGCACATTTCATACCAGAACAAGAAACAAGCCGTAGTTTCATTTCGGTCTGGGTTTGATTGACACTGGAGGATCAGTGGGCAGCCGCAGGGCGATGTGGCCCAAGATGGCAACGCTCTCCAGGCCCCTGCTGGTGCATATGCCTCCAGTCTGGGGCAGGGGGTGCAGAGGCGCTCCGGTGGGGCGTGGGGGCCTCCGTGGAG